AAGGGAGATAAAGTAAATAAACTCACATTTTTAACCCTGGAAGCGGGGCCTGGCCACCTAAATGGTGATTAGGACACTGAAGTGTTCAGAATACACATTTATTTTCCCATTCTATAGCACTCCTTTAATGGCAATTTGAGTACATGAATTTTCCCAGATCAGCTTTTTCAACCTCACTTTTTCAATGTCGTGTTTAGTAAATAAACCCCCAAATTTGTATTGAAATAAAAAGGTGCCTTTAATGTAATCTAGTGAATCACTATTGCTCATGTGAGTTTGAGTTCTCTAACGTTCGGGTTTTAGTAAATGACTCTGCTAGGCTTGTGCAATGCTTCATTTGTAGATTGTTTTTTGAATCAAGTCCACATCCCTTCTATTAAATAGCAAAACAATACATCAAAATAAATTACGGATCTCGGTTAGTATGAGTAGTATTCAGCATTTAACTGCTGTTTCTGCTGTTCAGAGACTCTGCTGTGCTCGTGCATCAAAACACACTCAGCCCAATAAGTGTTTCCTATATTCTGTCTTTTTACATTCTGTGTTCTTTTGATTTATTATTGTGCTAGCATACTGTATCTCCTACCCCATGCTGTCATGACTTGCTTGTTAAGAGCAGACAGAATTAGCTACATGTTTATATAAAAACATGCTGTTCTACAAGCTGTGAGAATTAGTGACAATTTGATTTCTCAACGCCAGTTTTTGAAAAGATCATAATGACTTCCATTACTAGAAAAATATAAATAAAATGTGTTTGTTTTTTCAGATCCTTATCTAAGTATTAATAGAAAATTATATGGCATTGCATATTAACAAAAGCCACAAAAGGAAATGAATGGCAATTTACTCTAGAAGAGCTGCATTTTGTTCTTAGTTTACCGTTACTTCTAGAGATACTCAATGTAACACTTTAAATAATGGTTGATAATGGAAAAATGTGACATTTATTTTTTATTCATGCTCTAAATCAAATCTCATGTCTACAGTTACCTTCTCTTTTTGTGTGTCAGTGGATGTATCTCTGTGTCTTTATATGTGTGTATCTGTGAGTATGGCAGTGTATATGTATATCTGTGTGTTTGTCAGTGTGGGTATATGTCTATGTGCATGCCAATGTGTATGTAAATCTGTGTGTGAGTGTGTAGCCACATATGTGTATGTGGACATATATCCCAGCATTCAGATTTAAACACCAACACTACATCCAAACACACCCTTCCAATCCAACAACCATAGGCGTGCGCAGCCTATTGCATTAGGGTGTGCACCCTAAAGCACAAGCACACGCCGCACATATATATGTATGTATGTGTGTGTGTGTGTGTGTGTATATATATATATATATATATATATATATACACATACACATATATACACACATACACACTGCTGTGTGTGTGTGTATGCTGTGTGAGGGTGCTGTTAGTGTGATGTGTGTGTGACTATGCTGGTAGTGTGCTATGTGGGTGAGGGTGTTTGTGTGTGTGTGCTTGTGAGGATGCTGTTAATGTACTGTGTGTGAGGGTGCTGTTTGTGTGTGTGTGCGCTTGTGAGGGTGCTGTTAATGTACTGTGTGTGAGGGTGCTGTTTGTGTGTGAGGGTACTGGTAGTGTGCTGTGTGTGTGTTTGTTAGGGTCCTGTTTGTGTTTGTGAGGGTACTGTTAGTGTGCTTTGTGTGTGTGAGGGTGCTGTGTGTGTTTGTGAGGGTGCTGTATAGGTGTTGGTGCTGTGTATGTCTGTGGGTGCTGTGTATGTCTGTGGTGCTGTGTATGTCTGTGGGTGCTGTGTATGTCTGTGGGTGCTGTGTCTGTGGGTGCTGTATGTGTGTGGGTGCTGTGTATGTCTGTGGGTGCTGTGTATGTCTGTGGGTGCTGTATGTGTGTGGGTGCTGTGTATGTCTGTGGGTGCTGAATGTGTGTGGGTGCTGTATGTGTGTGTGGGTGCTGTATGTCTGTGTGTGCTGTGTATGTCTGTATGTGCTGTGTATGTCTGTGGGTGCTGTGTCTGTGGGTGCTGAATGTCTGTGGGTGCTGAATGTGTGTGGGTGCTGTATGTCTGTGGGTGCTGTGTGTGTCTGTGGGTGCTGTATGTGTGTGGGTGCTGTATGTATGTGTGTCTGTGGGTGCTGAATGTCTGTGGGTGCTGTGTATGTGTGTGGTGTGGGTGCTGTATGTGTGTGTGCTGTATGTCTGTGGGTGCTGTGTGTGTCGTGTGCTGTGCTGTATGCTGTGGTGCGTGTATGTCTGTGTGTGCTGTGTATGTCTGTGGGTGCTGTATGTCTGTGTGTGCTGTGTATGTCTGTGGGTGCTGAATGTGTGTGTGGTGTGTGTGGGTGCTGTGTATGTATGTGTGTGGGTGCTGTGTATGTCTGTGGGTGATGTATGTGTGTGGGTGCTGTGTGGGTGCTGTATGTCTGTGGGTGCTGTATGTATGTGGGTGCTGAATGTGTGTGGGTGCTGAATGTGTGTGGGTGCTGTATGTCTGTGGGTGCTGTATGTCTGTGTGTGCTGTGTATGTCTGTGGGTGCTGAATGTCTGTGGGTGCTGAATGTCTGTGGGTGCTGTATGTGTGTGGGTGCTGTGTGGGTGCTGTGTGGGTGCTGTATGTCTGTGGGTGTGCTGTGTGTGGGTGTGCTGTATGTCTGTGGGTGTGCTGTATGTGTGCTGTGTATGTGTGTGTGTGCTGTATGTGGGTGGGTGATTGTGGGGGAGGAGGTGGGGGTACATTAATTGCTATCCCCCCTCCCTTCTTACCTTTTGTAGGGAGGGGGGATCGTGCTGCTGCTTCCTTCCCTGGTGGTCCAGTGGAGGAGGGGATCGTGCTGCTGCTTCCTCCCTGGTGGTCCAGTGGAGAGTGAACTCTAACCCCTGTGGGGCTAGAGTTCACTCTCGTGAGATTTGAGCGTTGCCGTGGCAACGCTCATATCTCGCGAGAGGAACCCGGCGGAGCTGCCGGTAATAGCTCCGCCGGTCCTCTCCTGCCTCCCTCCCTGCATGCGGGTCAGTGGGGAGGGAGGCTGAGAGCAGAGCCAGCGCTCGGATAGCGCCGGCTCTGCATGAGCCGACAGGGGGAGATCCTGAGATCTCCCCTGCCGGTCTCAATATGCATAGGCGTGCTGCGGGATTAGGGTGTGACCAGGCACACCCGGCACACCCCGTGCGCACGCCTATGCCAACAACAACACTACATGCAAGCACACCCCTGCAATCAACCACCAACACTACATCCAAACACACTATTACAAGCAAACACCAACACTACAGCCAATACTCCATCCAAACACATCATTATATTAAACACCAACACTACATACAAGCACACCCCTGTATTAAAACGCACTACACACACATAACATATAAGTAACATATAACATATACAGCTGTTATAAAATGCAAAATGAAATGCATGAAAGTCTTTGAATAGTTGGATTCGATATTTGGAATCATTCTGGGGTAAGCAATCATACTTTGATTTTCAGAACGCAATATTTTAATGCAATATTCACTTCTTATTCAGTTTTAAAATGTTTCCTTTAATGTACATTTTCCAATGCTTTCTATGCTTCGTAAAATAATCTATTCCTTTTCCATTATCTTGCAGACATTTCAAAGTGTACAGCTTTTAAAATAAATGGCTACCATTTACTCAGACTGCAATGATATACTTTTCGGTGTTCTAGAATATATAAAATAGTGGACTAGGATACTCGCTTTCCATGTGACATAATGTATTGGCTTATTATTGCAAGGTTTATTATCTAAACCAGGAATTATGAAGAATTGACAGGAGAATTGCAGATTTTAACTGGAAAAATACCAATGTTGGTGACTTTTTCCATTTACCTATTTCGAACTACAATTTGCAATCTGTTTCCATAGAATGGAAAACACATGTTGCCTTGGTATACTGTGACATAAGCTCTTTGTATAGGTCAATCTCACATCACAGAGGATATGAAGTTGTAAAATATTATTTTGGATAAACTATCAGACCTTAAAACAGCACCAATTGATTTTTTAAAGGATCACTGTAGGGTCAGGAACACAAACATGTATTCCTGACCCTATAGTGTTAAAACCACCATCTAGCCCCCCTGGACCCCTCATGCCTCCATAAATATAGCAAAATCTTACTTTATTCAAGCCAGAAGCTGTAACTCTGCATGCTGTTTGCCTAAAAAAAAAACAAGCAGTCTGCTGACATCATCAGAAGTGGTGGCCTGATCAAATCACAGTGCTTCCCCATAGGATTGGCTGAGACTGACAAAGTGGCAGATCAGGGGCAGAGCCAGCATGATTTAAACACAGCCCTGGCCAATCAGCATCTCCTCATAGAGATTAATTGAATCAATGAATCTCTATGAGGAAAGTTCAGTGTCTGCATGCAGAGAGAGGAAGTACTGAATGTTTGGATGCATTTTAGGCAGTCATGACCCAGGAAGGATCTCTAACAGCCATCTGACGAGTGACCAGTAAAGTTTTCACTAGGCTGTAATGTAAGCATTTTCTCTGAAAAGACAGTGTTTACAGCAAAAAGCCTGAAGGTAATGATTCTACTCACCAGAACAAATTCAATAAGCTGTAGTTGTTCTTGAGACTATAGTGTCCCTTTAATTTGAAGTCTTAAATGGACATCAAGTGACAATTATTTCTGGTTTGAATCTAATTACTATTTGCCTTCATTGGAACGGCTATGGGAAATAGGTATGTACCCTGTTATGCCAATTTATTTATGGCTCATTAGGAGGAGACCTTTATAAATGGGAGCCATGACTGGAGGGCATACCTGCTTCACTGCCCACTACATATATGATAATTTTATGATATAGGGTGTCACTGTAGATTATTTTAATAATTTCATACTTTGTTTTAATCAAAATGAGGTGAGGGGGCGGGACCTGACCTCTGAGTGGAGCGGGTGCAGCTCCCGCATTTTGTGTTGAAATTGCCTATTTACATGCAATTGGAAGGCATAATCTGCCGCATCTAAGTTACCCCATGAAAGGGGAACCCGCAGTGATCACGGTGGTGCCACTCAAGATGTCTCTTCCCACAAAATTAATTAAGCGAGCACTCAACAATCCACAGCTCCAGCTCAGCCAACAGCATACTACTCCTAAAATGGCGGAGCTGGTGTGTGGGCCCTCTGCTGAACCACTACAGATGTCAACTCTACACAAGCTGGACAACATCTTTGCAGCATTCCTATCTCACGTGGCTGAGAAGCAGAAGGGTCCATCGACACCTCCAAGCTACCACTCAGTTGCTGTCATGCCTATGGGGGATCTTGCTGGGCTTTCGACTCCTGACGCAACCGGCCTCCAAGACTCTGCTACGCACCATGCAAAGTCAGCGACCTGGATGGTGGAATTCCTGCTCCAGCTTCCCAGATGGAGAGCAGAGCGGAACAGCAGCCATGGGATCATGACCCTACCACCTACTTGCTTCTTTTCTGCTCATACTGTCGACAGGACCTCATGGTGTGATTCCAGCACTCATCTTACTGACTACCGGTGTGGTTATAGCCTTGGTGGACTGTGCTATCAGGTTCCAGCAGCTCCACAGAATGGGTATCGGCTAGCTTCAGGCAGCAATGGTGGGCTTTTGGTAGTCATATCTTGTCTGCAATGGGGACTGTTATTTGTGATACTTTATGAGCACTGACTCCTGCATTTATTAATGTTACTAAGCTTCATTTTACACTTTTTAGCCTGTAAATCACATATTTCAGTGGTTAACATATAGGCAATCTCAGAGCCACCCAAATGAATAATATATTGCCTGTTTTTGTTTCATCATCACCCTGTCTAGTCACACTCTTTTGTTTTAGGATTAGCCTTACTCTCAGTGCTAGACTTGTTTGCTTCACGTTAGTAAAACCTTACTTAAAATTGTGCTGTATTTGCAAACCGCCATGTACTGTAATATTACCTGTTCTACACAACTTTATGATATGTATTATTCTGTTATTGTGCTGTTTGTAAGTTTCACTCAGTGTTTGTAAGTTTATAACTATTGGCTCCTTTGTACACCGTGTGCTTGTTTTACTTGATATACACAGATATTCTTCAGTATATTATATTGTTTGTCTTATACGTATTATTATAGTATATCTTGCCAAGAAGGATTTGATAATTATATTTGTATTTTTTCCGCACAAATTTTATTTTTGTTTATATTGAGGGCCTTACATTACTGTAACACCCACCTCCAAGTGGACAGAAAGACAATCCTCTTTAATGACTCTGATATTCTGGTTGTATTGCATCTTCATTGAATTATATAGTGTTGTACATGTGTTTTGTGATAATATGGCAGAGATTAGGAGAACTGCCTGTAGCAGGGTTCTCCTGCTCTCCCATGTCACTTTGTTCTTTAACACCGAGGTAGGCCTTTATCTCCTCAAGTCTTCATCCCCCAGTAAAGAGTAATTTTCTGAAGCATAATATTTCCTGACAACCATTTCCTATTACCAACCACCCCTGCTCCACATTTATAGGCTCCAATTCTCCATCTGTGTGTAATCATTAAACATTAATTACATACTAACTAGTTCGTCTTCTCAAATGCGCATAACTGTAATATATTTCCTTTTATGACTTTCAAATGCTTGTTTATAAAACACTATATTTTTTTTTTACTGCTGACTCTTTTTCAGTGCACGTTGTCCGTTTTAGGACTGCAAGCTCTCAGGCTTTCTTACAATTAATTTTGTATTAAACTGCAATAATGTTGCAATGTGGCGAGTTATCTACTCCTTTTATACTATCGGGGTTATTCACTAAAGGGAGAATGCAAAGTGAATTCAAAGCAAGCTTCAAATGTAAGGCCAAAGTAGCTGAAATTAAAGCATAGCTGACAGATATTTTTTCCAGTTTGTCTATTTTGTCCTTAAAGGAACCCTATAGGGTCAGGAACACAAACATTTATCCAAGACCCTATAGTGTTAAAAACACTATCTAGCCTCCCCTACCCCACATAATATAGTAAAATCTTACCTTCGTTTTAGTCTCTTGCTGCTGGCTCTGCCCTTGATCTACCTGCTTGGCTGACATCATCATAAATGGGGATCTGAGCCATTCACCATGCTTTCCCATAGGACAGCATTGGATTGGCTGAGACTGTCAATGAGAAAGATAAGGGTCAGAGCCAGCACAAGTCAAACACAGCCCTGAGCAATCAGCATCTCTATGAGGAAAGTTCAGTTTCTCCATGCAGAGGGTGGAGACACTGAATGGCAGCGCTGCTTACTCTGCAGCACTCCCCCAGGTAGCACCTCTAGCAGCCGTCTGAGGAGTGGCTAGTGGAGTTATCACTATGCTGTAATGTTAACACTGCATTTTCTCTGAAAAGACAGTATTTACTGCAAAAAGCCTGAAGGGAATGATTATTCTCACCAGAACAAATAACACAATTTGTAGTTGTTCTGGTGACTATAGTGTCCCTTTAAATTTAAAATTTACTTTGAATACACTCAGAATTCTCACTTTAGTAAATAACCGTTACATTTCCAATTATAGGTTCCTCTGCGTGTAACTCAACCTGTGAGTACTGTAATTGCCATATTTTGCAAAGCACCCTTGATAAGAGAGCTCTATAATAACGGTTAAATTAGAAAGTAAAAATAAAAATTACTTTCAGGATTGGCTTCTATCCTTTTAAAAATAGCAGAGGAAAGTATTGCAGCTTTTATATTATGCATTTATGACAGCTGCCACATATTTATATTTTAAAGATATAATTCCACTCAGATTTAATATATATTTAGTTGAAAATAGAATAGCCTTACTAAGTAATTTTTAATCATCTGCATTATCAAATAACATTATTGTGTAATTCAATGAGTTTTCAACTTAAAATGTAATTTCTGAAAATTCTCAGTTGACAATTGACATTAAAAAATATTTTATATAGAACAGCACACCAAGCATCCAGAATGCACTTATTTTATACAGAACACATTGAAATCCAGGCAGCATGTTACCCACAACACATCCAGCAATAAAACCAGAGGCAGAATTACCAGGGCTTTGGTGGCCATCAGTGACCCTCACAACCCCAGCACTTTCATACCTCCCAAATGTCACTATTTAGGATGGAGAGTCCCTTTTTTCGGCCCAAATCCCTCTGTCATACGTTTCTATCCTAATTGCCCTCGATTCTAGGACATACATATTTTTGGTGTGTCTGAGTGTGTAGCAGGGCTCCACAGTAATAATACTCCCAGTGATGTGACATTAAACTACAATAAATGTGTTTAAAAATCAGTCGGTGTAATAAGATGCATTGTTCTTGTTCTAAGTTACATTTTAGTTGCATAAATTATTAGTAAGTCACCTAACTCTTCTCCGAACAGACCCTCCCCTGGCTACACCCCCACTCACACCTCTAAAATTAAAATATCCCTATTTGAAATGTTGGGAGGTATGTTTTTTTTTTTTTTTTAAATCTGTAGTGCTGAACCAAGTGGCTGGTACCATTGAAAGCTGTAGGCCCTCTGCAAGTCATGGAGGGTGTGATCATTCAGCTGGAGCAAGGAGCACTGACCCCTGCACTTTAATATGTAGTCATGATGAGAGTGATGTGCAGGTCATTGTTGACGTGACTATGCACCCTCTTCTGTTCTGGTGCGGAGAGAACGTTTGAGATGAGAGGCATTTTTACATTCCTGCCTATCTACCCACACAGATTGTGTTGGATAAGTGCTTCCCAGCATAGCTTGTTTGATATGGCTACAGAACCTCCAGTGAAGAAAAATAGAAATGGGATTGATAATATGTAAAGGTATGGGGAAGGGACAGGTAGGAAGAGATAAATGGGGAAAAACAGGTGAGGGGTAATATGTAGAGACAGTGGGAGAGAAAAGTGGAGATACAGGTGGGGAAATAATAAAGAGAGATCCGAAAGAGGTAGGATTAGGTTGTGTCAGTGGTAGGTATTTTGGAATAAAAAGCTTAACCCCTTAGTGACCAGACCACTTTTCAATTTTCTTACCGTTTGAGACCAGGGCTGTTTTTACATCTTTGCGTTGTTTGTGTTTAGCTGTAATTTTCCTCTGACTCATTTACTGTACCCACACATATTATAGATTTATTTTTCTCACCATGAAATGGTCTTTCTAAAGATACCATTATTTTTTTATTATATCATATAATTTACTATAAAAAAATTATAAAAAATTTTTTTTTTTTTTAAAAACACACTTTTTCTAACTTTAACCCCCAAAATCTGTTACGCATCTACAACCGCCCAAAAACACCCATGCTAAATAGTTTCTAAATTTTGTCCTGAGTTTAGAAATACCCAATGTTAACATGTTCTTAGGTTTTTGGGTTTTTTTTGCAATAAGTACAAGTAGCACTTTGCTATTTCCAAACAGTTGTTTTTCAAAATTAGTGCAAGTTACATTGTAACACTGATATCTGTCAGGATTCCCTGAATAACCCTTCAAATGTATAGATTTTTTAAAAGAAGACAACCTAAGGTATTAAACCTGGGGTATTTTGATTCTTTTCATGCAACTATTTTACCACCAATCTATGCCAAATTTTAAAAAAAAGAAAATAATTGGTGATTTTTAGCATAGCAATTTAAGAATACATGTACTGAGAACGTTAAAGGACCACTATAGTGCCAGGAAAACATACTAGTTTTCCTGGCACTATAGTGCCCTGAGGGTGCCCCCACCCTCAGGGACCCCCTCCCGCCCGGCTCTGGAAAGGGGAAAAGGGGTAAAACTTACCTTTTTCCAGCGCTGGGCAGGGAGCTCTCCTCCTCCGATCCTCCTCCGTTCCTCCCCGTCGGCTGAATGCGCACGTGCGGCAAGAGCCGCGCGCGCATTTAGCCGGTCGCATAGGAAAGCATTATCAATGCTTTCCTATGGACGCTTGCGTGCTCTCACTGTGATTTTCACAGTGAGCATCACGCAAGCGCCTCTAGCGGCTGTCAATGAGACAGCCACTAGAGGATTTGGGGGAAGGCTTAACCCATTTATAAACATAGCAGTTTCTCTGAAACTGCTACGTTTATAAAAAAAATGGGTTAACCCTAGCTGGACCTGGCACCCAGACCACTTTATTAAGCTGAAGTGGTCTGGGTGCCTAGAGTGGTCCTTTAATGGTTAGTGCCAAAGAACACCCCAATATGTATTCAGCAACATCTCCTGAGTACAGTGATACCACCCATGTATAGGTGTGTCAGGTTCTCTGGGGCTAAAAGACCTTATTTGGAAGGTGAACATTCCAGTTTTTCAATTTGGACTTTTCACAGCTGTTCACCACGCACCCATGTCCTATTTGGGACATTTTTTAAGCCGGCCAATGTAATTTACCCCCATCAAACCATATATTTGTGAAAAGTAGACAACCCAGGGTATTCAATATGGGGTATGCCCAGTCTTTGTTAGTAGCCACTTAGTCACAAACACTGGCCAAAGTTAGCATTTATATTTGTTTGTGTGTTAAAAATGCAAAAAACAATTATAAACGCTAACTTTGGCCAGTGTTTGTGACTAAGCGGCTACTAAAAAAGACTGAACATAACCCATTTGCAATACCTTGGGTTGTCCTCTTTTGCAAATGGTATGCCAGAATGGGTGTAATTCTCATTCCTGGGTTACCATACGCTCTCAAAGGCAACATAACCAGTCTGGCAAATTTAATTTT